AGTGACCGTAGTCTACGACAGTGAAGGAAATTGTTCGCTATCTTCACAGCTTTCTGCAAAACATGTCCTCTGAAAATGGAAAATGTCACATAATAGGCCCACTATGCCTGCTGAGAACTGTTCAAAGATTCCACTTGATATACAGAGGATGGGATATTGAGAGCAGAGGGAACACGTAAAGCTAGTAAGCGCTTGAAAACGAAATGAAGATCTAAGAATTCGGAAAATAACATTCATCTAATCTCACAATGTAGTGGATGAGATTGAGTACGTGGCGCATTCTGGGGTAAGTTTTGAGGCCCTTCTTTGTGTGTAGCGGTTAGCCCGCATAAGCGGGATTATATACACATCACATGCGAGCAACTACTTTTTGAGATAGAACCCGTGTGCATGGCGCATTCCGAAATCAAGCTTTCTGAAAAAATAACAGCACCATCTTGTAGCGCTTGAAGAGCTGAGTTCAACGGTGTTTTCCGTTTCTGGAATACTTCACTCTGAGCCGACTTATAACGAATTCACGAAATTAACGAGGATTCGCGTTATTCGCGTGAATTTTCGATTTCAAACGGCGAGTACTGTAATCACGGGGATTTATTCCGCTAAGTAAATTTCACAGCAAGCATCACTGTGAAAAATCGTCTTCCAACCTTCAATTCATAAATATCTATCTGGCAAACAATTTTTGGAGAGTTCGTCTAAGGCAGCTCACCACTCAATTTTTTCCGTTTCCAGAGATCAACATATTGGGATTCGGTTTACCGACTGGACGAAGGTTATCTTTTTCCTAGAGATGTGGCGAGCACATGGGGCTAGCCACATATTTATGTACTATCACTCCTCAACGCATAATGTCCGCCAAGTGCTACGGCATTACGAAACGAGAGGTATGGACTTTTGATTTGACCTTGGCGATTAAGCAGAATTACAAAATAGGCAGTGGTTAGGCGTTTCTGCGTTACAGTGATGTTGGCAGGTTACTTCCCGCTTTTCCAACATCGATCCTAATCTTTCTGCTGGTTCGTGGGCGCACATTCTCGTTCGCCTAACGATTGGCGTATCAGAAGTTTACAGCGAGTTTGTGTAAGCGCTGGTCCATTGATGAATCATTGTGGGCAAGGTAAGCCATAGCTCCTTTTAGTGTGAAGGGGTACTGGAGCGTTTTGGCTTGAGCAACGACACGCAAAGGGGACTGACACATTGAACCAGGTAATCGCAATAACACGGCCATCAAGACAGGAAGGTAGCTCAACCGTCTTTCTTCTGCCAAACCCCTGCGTAGGGTTTATTTTGAGCGAACAGGTCAGTTTCTTTAACTATTCATACGGTACGCCATGTCGATTAGTTTTGCAGGTGTTAGTCGGACTCATTCAGACGGTATTGGAAGTTCAATTGTACATGAGCCTTGCGTGTTTGGTGGCATATAGTGTGAGGCCCGTTCCGTGTCTCCATAGCTTACCTAAATTTCACATCCTTGGGGCACGTCGTAATTGCGTATCCGAAGAATCTTTCATTTTCATCGTGATTTTTGTTTTTGTGGCACAGGTTATCCACGTTGAGGCATTGTATAGTATTGGTCGAAGTCTGAAGATGTACACGTGCGTCCGCAAATGATCTAAAGCCTGCATTCAAGTTGTATCCTTTGCGCAATGCCAGTTCCATTCCAACTAGCGAATTCTTGTAACGGTATCCCGAGCTGTCGGTGTATAATTACATCCCTTTTCAGGAGGTATAATAACTGCATGTCTGAACTCCAGGCAGTTCAGCTCTTCGCCGTTCGCCCCTCAACGGTCTCCAATATTCCTCTTCAGAAGCTTCCGGTTAGGCCTCTCAATTAACTCGAGGCACATGCAGACCAATATGACAATACGGAGAACTAAGCTACACTGAATATACACTAGCAAATAACATACTGTCAATATCAACAGACTCAATATCCAGGCCTACTCTCGCGCGCGCCAAGCAGCAATCATCAATGAATCTCCCATTACGTTCCAGACAGAGACAAATAAGAGTAAGATATCGGCGATTGTGATTGTAGGGTAGATCACTATGAACTGTAATATGAATTAATGTATGTCCTATTGGTAATGTTTTTTATTAGTTGTACTAATAATAGATTTAATATAAGCGGTGCCATACGACGCGCAAATTCCCAAATTTTTACGACCCCCTTCCTTTTCGGGGGGTATCGGTACGACCCCCCATATTAACTATCATGTCTTTCACATAATTTAATGCTCATCAATGCTCATCAATGATGGCAGTCACCAACATGGAGAAGTGGTGGACCGTGGTCAATCCGCGCGCTCTGTCTCGCTCAGAGGAGGAAATCGAGGCAAATGAAGTTTTATTCATTAAATAGAATTTCCAAATTTTTGCGTAAACCAATACATCATTTTTATTCGTAAAGATTTCTACTTTCAGAAACCCACCAGGATTTTTTCGATCTCTCAACTTTCCTTACCTTATAATCTGAAAAACTAAACCTTGTAGCAATTACATTGCAATCCAAACCCCTCCATTCAGAAGGTTATATTTTCTTTCAGAAGCTGTTTCATGAAATCGGACACCAAAATTTTGAAAATATAAATAGTTTTCTTCCTGAGGAGTATTTGAAATGTTGTGGATGTTCAATATTTCAAAAATCGTCCCGTTGTTCCGTTTTCTGTGCACACGCGAGTTTTTGACATTCAAACATTCATAACTTTCTTCATAATCAACTTTTTGCAAATGTCTAAGGCTAATTAGAAACTAGAAGATTAGAGCTTTCGAACAAGCACCTGAAAATTTTCCAGCGATCATTTTTTCAAAAAATAGTCCCGTTGTTCCGTTTATGGGTGGTTTGGGGTCCGATTTTTGAGAAGGCGCGAGTTTTCGACATTCAAACGTTAATAACTTTCTTCATACTCAACATTTTGCAGATGTCTAAGGCTAATTAGAAACTAGAGGATTAGAGCTTTCGAATAAGGTGCTAAAACTTCTTGAAATAATCACTCGCTCAAAAAATAGTCCCGTTGTTCCGTCAATTCCACCTTGATTTTTTTCAAGCCTTTTTCCTGGACCGCGACTATGCAGTCTTTAAAGGCCCATAACTTCCTTTGAAATTAATGTGATGAGAAGCGGTAAAGATTGTTGGAATCCACTCGAAGAGTACTTCATAACAGCTGTGAAATTTTTCCTGAAATTCCTTCTTCTGCCTCAATTTTCCTACGGCGTCTCTAGAACTCAATTTCAGCAAATTCGCTACACTTTGTTTCGCTTAGATTTTATTTGAAAGCATCGAAACTCTCTTCAGAAAGTTTGTCTGCTTACGGCCGCTGACAGAGGAGGCGTTTTTACGGGAAAACGCCTCGGGTATACGCCGTGCACCTATCTGTGGGCAGAGTTCGCACTCGCATTTTGAAGTCTTCTGTTTTCCTGAAGAAGGTGTTAGTATCCTGATTGAGTTGTATTGTGCTGTTATATGGCACTCTTGTTTCACTTTCCCATGAACTGCTCTACACTTTGTTCTCCTCGGGATTTCAGGAATGTTTCATCATCGAAGACAGACCATGTTTTTGCACTACACTGTAACAAAGTTTTTGGCTATTGTCTATTGTACTCTTGATCTATGCCGCGGAGCAAAAGCGCAGTCCGGATAGCGTCGCTTAAGGATAATAAGCTGATGGTGAGACTTATAGTGCTCTGCATGCTTTAATGCTCCTCATGGAGCTCATGTCTGTGTGACTCTCCGACAGCGTGCAGAGCTCCTGGAGAACACTAGAGGGTGAAAGTGCACTCCCGGACACTGCACTTTTCAAGCCGTCTTGCAGCCCGTTTGTGGATACGACCCCCTCCCTTTTCGGTCGGCTGAATACGACCCCCTCGTTATTCTTAGCGCAACGCAGAGGGTTGACCCTGACCACGAATCATTCTACCATCCAACCGTCGAAACATTGCATCGGCCGATAAGAAACGGATCCGAGCCGAATGAACCATTTCACCGGAACATGTGGCTCGAGATCGACTTGAAGAAAAAACAAAAACCATAAATTTAATTTTCGAGCATAAAGTTAATTCTAATCAGATTCACAACACGATTCATCCAAAGACAGGAACAATCCACGTCGGAAGAACACAATACACCAATAAAAAACAAAGAAAAAAGTGTCTCCGAAGGCATTTATTTCAAATCTTCAGAGTCATAAATACAACCCGCATTCATGGTGAACAAACAAATAGAAACCCTGTAACAAAAATAATACCCACACCGCACGCTGAATCGGAAAAACTATGAAATTACGGTCGACAGATAGCTTGTCTACAAATACGATGTTAAGCTGTGCCATGAAATCGATATTTCGACCCCAACCGTTGAGGCACATTCATTCAATTTTTTCATCAATGAGAAGATAGTCACAATCACGATTCAACTACACTTTTTGTATTAACTTGTGTTTTTTATTAGTATTTATTATTGTTGTTACTCTTTCTGCATATATATTATGTATTATTTATATATATTATTTATATATTATATATTTATATTATATTATTTATATATTATATAATTTTATATTATTTATATATTTTATTATATAATTTATATTATATTATATTTATATATTTATTTTTATTATGGACGGTTTCTATTACATATTGTTTTATTATATCGTGTTATTTTGTTATATAATAATTATTTTCTTTATTACGTATGATAGTGTGTTATTTGTTATATGTTATAGGATAATATTATTGAATATTATTTTTTAATGCTTATTTAGTTGTTTATATTTGTTTGTAAAATCATTCTGCAATCGTGGAACATCCTTGGAATGATTTCGTTTCAGGAATGAGTCGCTACTATCGCTGATATCCGACGGTTCTCGTCGCCCTCAGTTGGAGCTCTTTCTTTTTCTCAGGCGAAATCCTTCTATTAATCTCGCTAGCAGGGAAGAGCTTCACTTTTGAAGCTCTTGATTTTTCCGGCATTCTCAATGCTACAGAAGCCATCAACTTGAATGGGCCCACCCAAGGTAAGGTGAGAGCTGAACATTAAGATATGTCCTAGCATAATGTTTTACAAAAGGGTAATTTTCGGTGATATTTCGAACCGAGGCGGTGAATTTGCTGTCAACTCACGAAGTAAGGGTCTTCCACATTGGTTTTGTAGCAGAGAATGTGAGTTCCATGAATCGAATCAATAACTCTTTAATTTTCTCTAGGAATTTACAGCTTGAATCTAATCAATCCGCGAAAATATGCACAGCGTCGACATAAGTGTTTGGTCCAAAGTTGTCTAGGCGTTGTATCGCGACGCTTGTCTGGAAAAGGTTGAGCCATGGTGTCGAGAAGACTTGCAGCACCATTACTTCTTACACCCTAACGAAACGAACCCTTCTCTTCCAATGTACCCTTCATGCTCCTGCTGGAATGCTTTTAAAAAAGCGACTCGTCCCTCTCTGAACTGCTATATCATGCAGTTCTGATGGCCAGATGCTAACGCTTGACCATGTCGAGCGGCCTAGTCTTACCTGGCTTTAAAGACCTATAGTTGCCAGGGGCAAGGATTCGCGATCAAAGAAATATACACTGCTTTGCATAAATATAAGTTCACGTGGAAAATCCGCATTGTAGGGTGTTTCTGAAAAGCCTTTATAATAAAAATGTGGCAATATAAATGGGATCTTGCGTGTCAACATCAACTTCCATTTTCGAAACAGAAAACTTTTCATTTTAACTTTTTTCAAAAGAAAAGGGCCACTTTGCCGATATTCCACAAATAGAGATCTACCCCATGTTTCTCGGTTGAACATCATTTTCATTTGGTGGAAGGTTCAGGGTTTTTTCAAGTCCTCTTTTTTAGCTAGTGGCAAAGGCATTGCAGCTGTACCAGAAGAAGGCGAAAAAGGCAGATGAGAAGTTTTGCTATACGCCAAACGCGGGCGGTTAGTTGAGGCAACGCTTATGTGTTTTTTTTAGCATTTCGTCAAGAATTCTGGAGCATAAGGGATCCAGAATCGGCCGATACTTTTCTTTACTTTCGGTAGTAATAACCGTGTATGGGAAAAGCGAACGGTTTCAAAAGGGATGCTCAGAAATCCAGCCTTCAATGGAGATATGATAAACCAGTTTAGCTTCGCCCGTACTGTCCGTTGCATAGGCTGCCCATCTTGGCTGTATCTCACTGTTTGATAAGCGCAGTGAAGTGCACAGCTAAAGTGATGATGTAAACAACCACTATGCGTCGAGTATCGAGGTAATTTAGCGGTCGAATATCTCAAAACGGAATGCCCAGTATTCATTATCATATTTATTCGAGCATCCCATCCTCAAGAACTCTGGAAGGTGTAGCGGTCGAAAGGTGTTTGAGTTTCACAATTACAACCTGATGAAATGATATTGAAATGAAAGGCATTATCTACAATCTGCTCTCTATTTTCTATTTCAAGTGCTCTCTACGTTCGTACGCATATCGTTACTATCAGTCCTCATCAGTCGTTATCACTTTTGACCCCCACCAAATATGTTCCCGTCCCACCCCCATATATCATGCCCCAAAATCAGCTCCTGACGACTGCTGCGAAGCGCACTATGAATTTCGTGAAATTTGTGTTTCAGCGCCTCTTATCTGCTCTTATCAGTCGTTATCACTTTGTGACCCCCACCAAATATGTTCCCGTCCCACCCTATATCATGCCCCAAAATCAGCTCCTGACGACTGCTGCGAAGCGCACTATGAATTTCGTGAAATTTGTGTTTCAGCGCCTCTTATCTGCTCTTATCAGTCGTTATCACTTTGTGACCCCCACCAAATATGTTCCCGTCCCACCCCCTATATCATATCAAAAAATCAGCTCCTAACGACTGCTGCGACGCGTGCTATGAATTTCGTGACACACACACACACAGACAGACAGACTTAGCGTTTTCTCTATAGTAGGGATATTCGAAAGACACTAGTTGTTGCGCTTAGAGGGACTCTGAGACCACCGGTTGACGGAGAATGAGTAGGGCACTTTTGAAGACATGAAATCATTACAAAAATCAAGCCAAATTTCCCCACGTGGTCGAACTGGCCGGAGCGAGGTGATGTCAGTCGCGTGGTAACTTTTACTGCTTGTGTTCACTTCTCTTGAATCGCCTTGGCGATGGACAAGCGAAGCGCAACGCGACCGCTTGTCCGTTGCCAGGTGTGACGGCGGTCTTAATGTTTTCCTTTTTCAATGTAAGTTTCCCTCTCTGCTAAACACATCTGAAAGAAAAACGGAGAGCAATGCAGACAGATTGTAAAAGGATCGTTTTGAATTTAGTAGAATTGGTTTGGCATGCACACATTATGGAAGAGTTGGCTTGATTTTTGCAATGGTTTGTGTGTTCACAAGTGCCCATTTTCTATCAAGCGGTGGTCTCAGAGCTTCTCTAGCACACGCCAATCATGTTTTCCTACAAACCTGGTTTTTTGAGGGTTGGATTTAGAATTTTTTTCGCGTAAGAGTCGCGTGCTTTTCCTATAGCGCGACGGCTATCACGAGAGAAACGCGAAAAAAAAGGTACAGGCCCATTTTGGATTCCATATTATGCAGGATTCTGACAAAGTGCTCGAGAACCGCATAGGTGGGACTCAAATCGCGCGCGGTTTGACTGTATAACAAATCTTCTCGCCAAGGGAAAGCTAGCCGTCGAGGAAAATTTTGAAATATCGCCTCCATCCCCAACAGCCGAGGTCCTTGAGGCGACTCCTCACAAGGCGAAGTATGAAAAAGTTGCTTAACGCTCCCCGAAAACTCTTTATCGAAAAAAAATCCGGCTACCCCACCCTCCATCATAAAAGTCGTTCAACAAGTAAGAGGAGTCAAGGAAAAATCATTAACAATGAACCCTACCAACAAATGGAGCAAAAAACGACAAACTAGTCACTAAAAATGGCATACTATGACAGCATCTCTTCTTTATTTATTTCCTTTGAAAGGCTTACCAAGTCTTAGTGCTACACAGAGCATGCCCCTCAGCCAAGCGCATGGAGCAGACTAGTATTCCTTAATTTATTTGGTGTTTTCTCCTGTTCCACAACCGTCCATGTACATTATTGAAAATGAAAAAAAAAATCAAAGAAAATCAAAAAAAAAACTATTTCTTCATTACTGATAATGAAAACGCTGAAGGATTAATGCCTATTGATGAGAGAATACGAAAAATGTTGAAGCAGTACGCGCACAACGGCGCTCGTCAACTTGTTGATGATAGTTCTGTGGAAAGCTCTTTCTAACTTGTATTGAAATTACAAAAATTTATAAGAAATAACAAATTTAGATCAATTAACGAGGAAAATTCGAGATGAGCACGAGTTTTTACACTTTCCGAAGCAATAACTTGCTTCATTTTCGTCAAATTCGAAAAGTTAATATGGCAGACAAAACTAGAAGATTTTCTCTATCAAATGGTTGCTAAAGCAGCTCATAGTTCCAACATTTAAATAATGGCCACGTTGAGTATTTTTGCAAAACTGACGGGGAAAATTCGTGGAGCGACTCATGCAATCTGGAAATTTAATAGCGTCATCATAAACTAGAAGATTTGCTCTATTCAACGTTACTAGAACTGCTCAATACGTTCAGTATTAAAAAATGGCCACGTTGAGGATTTTTGCCCGAGTACCGCCGAAAGGTACTTTTTTGCTGCTGTCGTAATGGATCACTCAGTTAGCTAAGACTATGCGGGCGCCTCCAAAGCACGAAACTTCTATGTGAGCGGAATAGCAGTAATACTGGAAATCCTTCGGTGAGCTTGCACAGCATCCATTCAATCTTTATGCTTGTCCTCCAACAGTGTTGATCCTACTGCATCGATCCGGCCCAACTCCTTCCTCCAAGCGGGCCACATACCACCACCCCCTGTCCACCTGTTGAGGATTCCTCAATGCATACTTGACCCTGCTTCTCACTCTTACGTAGATTTTGCATTTTTTTCGAGTCCGATGAGGTGTTACTTTCGTCATCACCTGAAAATTGGAACTGGAAATAACCTGACGGCTACACCAAATGACAGTGACCGAGAAACATGGGGTGGATTTATATTTTTGCACAATCGGCAAAGTGGCCCTTTTCTGAAAAACAAAAATAAAAATTTTCGTGTTTTCGAAATGGAAGTTGGTGTTTACAGTCGAAATTATATTTATATTGAGCACATTTTTTTTCAAATGCCTTTTCGGAAACACTACCATGCAAATTTTCAAGAACTTTTCAGGTGGGCTTATAAATACGAAAAGCTGTGTATTTGTTGAGATTTGTTGGTGAGTAGGAATACCCTTGAAACATGTATTTGCCACAAGATGAAAAAAATCAAAATCTTTGGTGGCCAAGAAGAGTGTTTCTTCGTCACTATTGAAGGTGCAGCAGATAAAAGTATTCTTGGGTTTGATTACCATATGTTTATGTTTCTGTGATACGCTGAGTATGCAACTTCACTCATAGTCGGAGGTATATATGTAGTATTTGAATACCTATTCACTATGAGCGATTGCTTCACGCATTGTGCTCTCAGCCGGCCAACATAGGACACCTACAATGCATTAACCCTTTGACGACAATGCGGATTTGCACGTAGCTTGCTCATGGGACCACGCCTCTTTTTGGCGCGCCCAACTCTCGCTCACAATTGGGCAAAATTGTCCCTCAAAGCAGTTTTTCTATAGAATTTTTGACTTTAACAGTATACCAGATATAACTGCAGTTCTAGGCTTTCATACTGTATATTGTTTTCAAGTTGATTCCAATTTGGGAGGGGAACTTGGGTTTCAAGTTTTCAAGTTCCAGGAGAATTTTCGATACACTTCAAACCCTTCCTATATCTGAGGGCTATGAGAAGACGAAGAAGTCCTGATTAGTAATTAATCTTCAGCCTAATAATAAAACCCCAATTAATATGCTGGCGAGCTAAATGGCACATTCTAAAATTCTATATAAATTAGCTCTTAATAAACATTTCTGTAAGCCGTGCTAGTCATAGATATTATGGAACTTGCTTATAATTATTGGGGTGTTACAAATGTTTTAAATGCGCAAAGAAGGAAATTTTAAGGTGGCACCCACCATTGGGTGCCATTGTCCCACGCAGCAAACATAGTGGCACCCACCGGTGGTTGCCATTGTCGTCAAAGGGTTAACGGTGAGAGTCAGGATCAAGCTGATGTGTATACTAGTAATCTCACGCAAATATGAAAGCAAGGACGCGAAGTGAACTGCAATTGGTGGAAAAGATTAGGAAATTGTCAAAATCTTGAATGATAGTGAGAATTGATCTGTGTCTCAGTGACGCCTTTCGTTTTGCGAAGGTGGCGCGACCACTACGGTAGCAGGCTAGCCCCATCATTCGCGGAAGCGACTACTTCAGTGAGATTGTGCCCAGACCATGCTTTTATAGAGAAGATTGCATACCACGTGATTTTTTGTTTATATATACCAGTTTTGCTTCGCCCGCTATCGCGCGCATCACACGGCAGGCTTTAGCGAAATTGGAGGACCCATGGAATATCAGCATGAGATACTCCATTAACCATCTCACTATTGACTGTGTTAGACCCTCCACAGTTTCACTGAAGCTCATCGAGAATACGCGTGATAACGTCTGGAGCTGAACTGGTATATTGATCACAACTGTAAACATCCAGCATTTTTCTTGAATTAAGATAATTTAGCGGTGAATAGGATTGCTGTCAGTCTCAAAATGAAAATGAAATATGCCTATTTACATAAGTGAGGAGCTAAGGCTTATCATTTATTTACATTCACCATTATTTAGAACCCGAAAGGATTAGCGGTTTAATGAGTTTGGGCTTTCTTGATAGAAATGAAACTTATCATTTGCTGAAGACTTGATTGAATTTATGCAATCGACTGCTATTAAGTAAGCTGGATATATATCGAAATAATGTGCACGTACCTTTGTTTGTACTACTACGACTTACTACAATTTGTAAGTAGGAACGCTCTAGTGTCAACGCTGCGTAACGGAATTGACGACTTTTGCGTTCTGACGCGCCTTATCAGCCCTTATCAATGTTATCAGTTTCTGGCACCCACCAACAATGTCCCCGTCCCACCCCACATAACACTTGTAAGTATGGTTGCTCTGGTGTCAACGCGAGCCAGGTAACGGAATCGACGACTTTTGCGTTCTGACGCGCCTTATCAGCCCTTATCAATTGTTATCAGTTTCTGGCACCCACCAACAATGTCCCCGTCCCACCCCACATAACACTTGTAAGTATGGTTGCTCTGGTGTCAACGCGAGCCAGGTAACGGAATCGACGACTTTTGCGTTCTGACGCGCCTTATCAGCCCTTATCAATTGTTATCAGTTTCTGGCACCCACCAACAATGTCCCCGTCCCACATAACACTTGTAAGTATGGTTGCTCTGGTGTCAACGCGAGCCAGGTAACGGAATCGACGACTTTTGCGTTCTGACGCATCTTATCAGCCCTTATCAGTTGCTATCGCTTCCAATCATGTACCACCAATGTCCCGGGACCACCCCACATAACACTTGTAAGTATAGACGCTCTAGTACCAATATGAACGACAAAACGAAATTGGCGATGCTCGCTTTCTAGCCCCTCTTATCAGCTATTATCAGTCGTTATCAGTTCCTATCACGTACCACTTGTGTCCCCATCCCACCCCCTATAACATATGTAAGAACCACTGCGCTATCATTACTGTGACTCGAGCTATGAATTTCCGGTCAAACACACACACACACCAACAGACACACGCTAGCCGCTTATATATAGTAGGATAGGATAGGACTTTTACATCCCAGAATCCCGTGGATGCTGATTTCTGATTAGGGATTATTTAACAAAAAAACGTTTGGCTTACATTTCTCTCTCAGATTTCGCCAACTGAAGCCGTTCTTCTCCACAATCGCTATACTAATCAAAGCAGAAAAAACGGCACAAAGGTTGTTCTTCTTCCCTTGAAAACAAACATTGACAATGTTCGCAAAGCGATGCAGGCCCAAACTAGGACAGTCTTCCCAAATGGCGCCGATTTTCAGTTTGAGACTCAACAGCGGCTCGGAATGTGCCTTCAAAGGTGAGTTTCAACCAGAGTAATGTCGCACTTCTGCCCTTTGCACATATAGTAGCTCTTCAGTTAAACAGTTGTTGTTTAGATGGCGAGAAACCCAAAACTTCTGCAAAACTCCCATCGTGGGCTGCCAGGACGTTGTGTTGCCTCTAGAGGACTGGTATTTCACCGAAGCCGCCGGAGAATTCCTTCTCCTTTAATGTGAGTGTGCTTCGTGATCATCCTTTGAGATCGTGGGACCCTGCTTGGTATATCGCTGCTGCTTCAATAGGACCTGACAAGTAAGAGCCGCATTATTCGAAATAACTTTCATGAATCTATTGACCCTTCACTTCATATCCATATGACCACCTACACCACT